CAGAGGATGGACTTTCTGCGTCAGCTCAGGAGGTTCAGCCTGCCTCAAGAGCCGCAGATCCATAAAAACCCTAAAAATGACTCATGCCAACCTGCGTAAGAAAACGGGCAGGAAACATCACTGCAGACTCATCACACCCTGGACACAACCTGTTCCAACTTTTGCCCTCTGGTAGGCGCTACAGAGCACTGTACTCCAAATCTAACTGACAGGCCATCACTCTGATGAACAATTAACATCAGTAACCCTGTAACAATAAACACCCACAGTACCTACAAATGATAAATTATATATGTTGTGTAGTTTGAATACAGATATACATATTGTCAAATATAAATCTCTTTCAAATGTCATTGTTTTTAATATAAATATCACTTATAGTAATTAAAGGTTTGTTTACCTTAGTAATCTGAAAAATAACTTGTTACTATAGCTGTCGGACAAATGTAGTGGAGTAAAACTTACAATACTGGCCTCTGAGATTTAGTGGAGTATAAAGTATAAAGTTGGATGAAATGGAAACACAGTATTGAAGATAAAGTTGAACTTGATTAGCAAACAGTAACGTCTGCTGCAAATTTGAAGCAGCAATTTATATTTAAATGATGTCTTAAATCTTTCACACAGGCCGAAAAGGAAATTGCTACCCTGTACATCTAAAGGTGCCAACAACAACTTATTGGCCTCACATGAATGTTTTGTGGTTTAGATTAAAGGATTTTCCCATGTCTGCTATCTGTTCACCTTTCTACTCACCAAGGCCTTTGGACAATGATCTCAACTTGCATGTAGTAATACTGATTTTGAAAAAAAAAAATGTATTTACAAAAAACATAAGGTCACAGTTTTTGGCAAAGTGTGAGTCTGCTTGAAGGATCTCATTTGTTTGGCTTATTTGAAATATTTTTTCGGTCTTGCATTAACAAGGGCTTCGCCAGCATGCCCAGTGCTTAAAAAAGTGATGCCAAGGGATCTTCACCAAACATCCATGTGTGAGGAGTTGGGAGTGAGAACGACAACTTGCTCTGGATAACTTGATGCCCAGGTTGTAGTTGACTAATAAATATCAGTTAAAGTCTTATCTTGCATAGTCTAATTAATTAATTTAATTATCATATTAAATTTTGATCTCAAAGATTCCCCACCTTCTCTTCTGGGAGAAGGTGGGGAATCAGCCTTAAGTACAATTTATACTTCTGCATCAAATCGACGGCGTAGCCTCTGCGTAGCCCCCTACCTGACGTGCACCTCCTCAAAAATGTAACTACACTCGAGTCGGTGGATCAATATATTTGACCGTCACAACCCGAGCGAAATGACTCGTTTCATTATCAGAATGAGATCTATTCGGTCAGTAACGTTTGAAAAGGCTACACGAGCCGCACATTTACAATTTTACCCCCATTGACGTTAGCGGAGCGCTAAACCGGAAGTTATCCTGCTCAGCCGGCAAGTCAACACAGTGGACGCTGTAGCGCTACCGCCACCTAGTGTTTGGGGGTGTAATTGCAGATTGACAGACACACGGACGCACAAATATAAATGCCTGGCTACGTGTGTAGCCGACGGCGTAGCTACGCACGTAGATCCTACGCAGGAGTATAAATCAAGTTTGGGCATCTGGGGGCCTGTTTCAAGAGCTATTGTGGGACCTTGCCCATAAAAGAAAGGGAAAAAAATAAGAATTTAAAGGTGAATGCTCAATTTGAAGTTCATACTTGTAGTTAGGGTTTCTACTAGAAAATGTTTACATGCTTTATAGAAAGTAAAATGGGCGCCATGGCCACCACAAGGTGATTTTGCGATGGCTCCATTTCTGAAAATGCTCAGGTCTGTACGTGTACCAAGTTTCATGCTTTTATGAAAAAGTCATCATATCACCTGAAATTTGGTACATATCACCTGGACTATTAATGTTTAAAAAACACATTATATTTCTTATACTGTCCACCGCTTCAGCCCCTCTTTTCACCCTCTTTCTGAATCCTCAGTTTTAGCTCCTGTCTCTTTAAGCCCCCCCCAACCTGAAAGAATAAAATATTAACAGCAAGCTACTGTACAATGTCACGGTATAATACAGTATTTTTTGATTTGTTGCTCGAGGCCGCCCATAACTCATCTGAGCACGTCATGTTGCTTCATGTCACGCCACCTCATTTAGCACATGGTCAACTTACATAAATTAAAAAATACAGGTTTAGCATTATAGAGTAGTGATTTTATTTAACATAATAGGAAAGATAATAAAGAGATGAAGAACTGAAGACAATTTTTACCTGGTTTCTGACCCTGGCAGCACTGAAGTGGACGAAGCAGATCACCACCTGGTGCTCTCTTCCTTGCCTACGCCTGCACACCGTTATCCATCCTGCTCTTGTGGCTTACGTAACAAGGTAATTTCAATCTTATCAAAGTCAGCATTACCCTGTTATGACATTGTGTGTTGATTTTATCAAATGTAAAAGACAAAAGTCTTACTGCTTGACATTAGCCTACTTTGTGTTAACCCATGTTGCAAGCATGCATGGACACAAAACATAGAGCCTAAACAAAGTTTCAGAAACTGATATACTGTATACATTTACTAGTTCCATGCTAAAATATAGAGTAATAGATAGATATATAGAGCGTTATGTTGCTCTCACATCTGCCAATAAAGCTCATTCAAATTTGAATTTGATATCAAAAGAGAGCGATAGAGAGGAGGGCTTCACTGCACTTGCGTGTGAGGTCTGAACTGAGGATAATGCTTGCATATCTGAAGTTTTTAACAATAGACACCATGGTTGAAAAAATCCGAAGTACAGTCTTAAAGGACCAATAAAAAAAGTGGAATGTCTATTTGTGTTTTGGCCTGTGTGATCCCACCCAGTCAACAAATTACAATTTTTATTTGGTGAATATGAGGGGATTACATATTGAGTGCAAATAATCTTTACTTAGCACACCTAATTTCTTTTATGCTTTCTCTGTTTTAGGCACTTCAACGGGATCAACCCCAAGAGGGGAACAAAGGCCAGCCAGGGGAAGGTGGTGTCCAAGAAGACCGGAACACTGGTCCAGAAAAAGGCAGCAACTGTGAATCCCTATGTGAATTCTCTACCCTAATAAAAAACCTCCTGGACTTTAAGTGAGGCTTTATGTAGTCCACAACACAGCTCCACACAGGACCTCACTTTCAAACAAACGAAAGCCCTCAAAACAACCAGATCTTCATAAGGTCATTTTAAGGTAACATGTCTCAGCATTGTGTTCTGTTCAGTAGCTGAGTCCTATTGTTTGAGTTGAGTATTGTTAGTTCCAGGTTTGTTCTTTTTCTCACTTTCTATTGCACGTCATGATCATAACTTATGGATACTGAAGACAGGGTACAGTTTTAAGTATGGTATGCAAGTTGTTGAGAACCTGCTTGAGATGATTAATTGTTGTTATGGATTGTATTTTACAAGAATTACATTACTGTAAATTTGTTAGCTAATGAAGGTGTATAAAGCAGTGGCTTTAATAAATAATGTTACATGGCCATCTATAGTTCAAGAAAAATAATTTTACTGATTATAGGGTAAATGGACTGGGCTAGTATAGCATATTGAGAATCTGTTCAGAAAATTGTGTTTTAATGAATTGTTTTTACAAAAAAACTTATTTTATTTATTTTATTTGTCACTTTATTTTTTGATACCACATTGACTTTAATAAATGCCACATGTTGTAAGGCCATCTATTGTCTGATTCATTTGTAGGCTAGAAATTTTGATGTATTTTTATTTTGAAATGTAAATTGTTTAAATCATTAGTTTACAGCAGTGTTATACTGTAAAACCAAACAAACAGTATTATACTGTAATGCTTATATTCAATACTGTAATATTTATTACAGTAATAAAAAAATGTTGTAAGTGATTACAGTAGTTACACTGTAGAATAACAGTTTCATGCTGGCAACTGTAGCTGCCAGTATTTTACTATAATATATATATATATATATATATATATATATATATAATTACTATATAAAAATACTATATATATATAAATTACTATTGTTTTTACGAATAATAGGTCTTACTATTAGGTTATATAGGTTACTATTTATATTTTTTTCTTTTTTGTGGTATTTCTGTAATTTCTATTCATAGTAATGCAATAGTGTTTGCTGTAAGGGCAGTCTCCCCTACACAGGGAGCTGGCTGAATGTTAAGTTATATAATGATGTCATAATAAATAGATAACTCAATATTGGTGTTTTTCGTATTCAGTTGAATGGCCAGGATAACTAAACTTATATATAGTTATTAATAACAAATTACAACACTTACACCAACATACTTTAGCCTATGTCACAGCAATGCCATGTCCAAATAAAGATTTTATATTACCTCAACACTTCTGTCCCTGCTGGCAAGTCCTCTTTCTCTCTGTCTCTCGTTATTTTCAAATGATGGTTTCATAATGCCTGGTTTATGTGTCTATGTCTCTACACACTGAGAGAAATAAACAGGCCTTAATGAAGGTAAAATTTTCAATTCTTGCGTGTCATTCGGGGCCCATTGTATGGACACCTCATGTGAAACGGGTGAACTGTAGGCTATAGGCCGCCACTGCCCCTGAAGGTCCACCTGGGTCTGAGCCAATCTCCGATTGTTTAGCCTACTATTCCCCCAAAACGCTCCTGGACACGGTTCGTCATAGGCTATTTAATACTACAAATTACAGCTGCGGGTACTTTGGGACACATGACGAACTACTTGGCTCATGTGATTGCTGATGGACCATGGGAAACGAGGGGATGGTCCTGCTCTGCGATGCGCTCCGATGATTGGACATCGGGAGTTTGACAAGCTTGTTAATTCTGCCTATCAACACTACACGCCTCCTCTGTGTCTGAAAACTACATATGGGGATGCGGAGTAAGGAATTAAAAAATAAGTTGTGCGGATGAGCTGTTTCTCATCTCAAACAAGCAGAGCACACACGGGGAGTAATTATTCATGATTTAAATGGCGGAGGAACTGTTACTGGAAAACGATGCAAAGATCAGCACGGTGAGTATTCATTTAAGAATTTAATCTGTACCGGCGATTGACATGTAGATCAGCTCTCTACATGGTGTTGCCATGTCAAAGTATAATTATTTCACAGCAGTTTTACTCACCTAATGTTTGGATTATCTTGAGCAGAGGTCCTTCCGACCTGACCTTGACCCTAAACCATTGTCTTCAATAAAAGGCCTACCGACAGTGCAGATCAATACAGGGTATTTGCAATAATTCATCTAAAAATATCCAAATTTGGTTTCAACATATCAGATGCTGCCTGTGATTTTTAACATGGAAAAGTTTGTGAACCACAACAACAGCCTTTAAGTTACACTAAGTTAATTAAAAACTATTCAAAAGACTAAGAAAAGCCACTAAAAGACTATAGTAAAAGTCTTCATAGCTGTCCAGAGCTTTGACCAAAGTGACATATGAAGAGCTGCACATCTGACAGATAATCAACCTAAATTGAGTGCAGACTGGGCAGCATTGTCTGCTTTGAGCTACTTTCACGTGTCGTTGTTCAACGCTCTCTATCAGGCCATTACAGGCTAAATTAGGTTTCTTTAAAGCATCTATGCTGTTATTGTTCATACAGAGCCCAGGGTTCCTCCTCTGTCTGCTCTTTGCACTAACACGCAGACACCAACATCCTCCATTTTCACATTAGTGGATTCCTTTGGCTCGCTGATATATAAGTTATCAAAGTTGGTCTTTGTAAACCCGCATTTTATTTAAATGATGAAAACCTTTGTGCAGCTAACATGTTTCTCCATGCTCCATCCAAATAGGTCAACTAAGCTCTTGTGTGCTGGACTTGAAGCGAATAACTCCAGGCCATTCCTAATGAAAAGTAGACTGCCTCACATCCCCCTTTCTTTGAAGACTGAGTGGGACTCATGTGACTGGGCTTTTAGGGTGGTCACCCCGGAGTTACCCCGCTGAGGCCCCTTTGTAGCTGTACAGTAGTTGTGGTCTTTTCTCAAGACTTGCCTGAGCTGTTGTCGCTTCATTAAATCTGTGGCTGCAAAGTAGCGTAGATTTGTTCAGCTCATTCAGAGAGTTAAATGTGTTTATGGTACAAATGGATCTGGCCTGTGTCCATGTGCCGTTTGTTTCACATCTTCTGATTCCGTCACATGCGGCTCAGTGCCTGTTCAACTCTGTTGCAAAGTCCAAAGATCACAGACTCCTATGCAACATTTACTTTCAGAATAATGCTGCTTAATACGCCTACAGAATGAGTAATCTCTTAACAGGCAGCAGACAAATCTAGAAAATGGACACAACAGGACATGCACACATCATTTAGTTTTGAAGATTTCAACATATATTGAACTTTGCTGGCAAATTTTTGATTGGTAACTTTGGCTAACTTTGAAATTGTTTTTTTAAAATTATTTTCTGATCATTTTAAACTAAGATGCCATTAAAACAAGCAAATATGTATTATGAATATCTAGCTCAGATTTTTTAAATATAGGCCTTTTTACTGTACAACTAATGGAGCTGCTTATTCAGTACACTAATTTATACTTACTAAATTTTATCAGGGCAGCCACACAGAAGGAATAAACCCACAATGCATGACTCCAGGAGGCACAGGTGACGACTGTTTATTTAACACAGATAACTCACAGGCAGAAGTACAGAAATGTCAACTGCTTATCCTGCGTACAGAGTCGTGGGGGGCTGGAGCTTATCCCAGGTGACATCGGGCAAAAGGCGGGGTACACCCTGGACAGGTCGCCAATCCATCGCAGGGCGTAACTGGTTCTAAATACGGGGGAATCTAAATACAAAGAAACACTGTCGCAGGGAACAAGCAGACAGGGAACGGGTAACAGAGTAGACCTGAAACGAAACGCAATGTGAGAAAACAAACACCAACAGAAAACACATGCATAACTGAAAACATGACCTTAAGTACTGGAGCTGGCCATGATGGGCAAGTTTTATATAGTGAAATTCACTGGCCAGGTCACATTTCCAAAAATTCCTTTCAAAGACAAGCTCTTTAAAGTTATAGCAAAGTCTTGTTAATTACTAATTGCTGTGATCTCACATTAAATTGGATCTCAGTGATGTTTCTTGCATTGTTTTAAACATTTCTTCAGGCCTCTGGACATTTTACTGCATTCTTTTTGTTGGTCTCTGACATTTTCTCCTCTTTTCATCTTATCTTCAGCATCTTACTATGCCTCTGCTGGTGGTGGCTTTTCTGGCGTCATTCGGCAGCTCCATGCTCTATGGCTACAATTTGGCAGTCGTCAACTCTCCTGCACAGGTTTGTGTCTCTACCAAATCATCATCATTGTCATCATGATAACCATCATTCTATCATCACACTATTCCCAGAATAAGTTGATAGAGACTTGCGCACTGGGGTGAAAGTTGAGGCATTTTAGATGTTAATGGGCATAGTGAAGGTCAGATTGTTTTTCATTGTCATGTGGAATCATGTGGGTTTGTGTATCAAATCTAGAAAGTGCTGTGTGCCTCATCATGTGCTCTCTTCTGTTCCCTCGATGTTCGATTGGCCACTGTACAGTGACTTAGTTGTGAACTTTTCCTGTTTAGCCATGGACCGCCCCATGTTGAAGCATGTGAGCTTCAGTGCCATGTCTCATGCTATTGTAGTATACTCCTCTTGGGGGGGTTACATGGAAAGAGAATTCCTCATTTCCCACAGTTTATTGTCATTTTGATTTATTCTTCCACTAATTGATAGACATATGCACAATACCGGTAGGCTGGCCATCTCTCATTTAAAGCTATATGTAGAATTTTATGCGACAAGAGTGTGTTTCAAATATTTCTCCGCTTATGTGAAAATCTGCCCTCTGTCTTTAGCCCATTCATCTCACCGTCTCCAGGTTGGACGTGGGTCAGACATTGGAACGCACTATTTTTATACAGTACATAGCCAATCTAGCTTGGCTTGGCTCTGCAAACCTTCTACAGCACAGTGTGGTCCCCAGGCAACGGAAAGTTTTCTTAAGCCCCATATCCAGTACTTGTTTCTTTAAATGATTTCAACCAAGTAGAATGGTCAAAAAACTATCACAGAAACGTCCAATAAGGAGTGGGAGTCACTATGAAGCACCGTTTGAAGGCAGAACTTCCTTTTCTGACACTTGGTCAAATGACATGAACTTTGATTAAAATATATGTTTGTGTATGAAGGTGTAGAGAAGCCTTTTTTCAGGTTTATGACAGGGTTTTTTATTTTGCAAGTTCAGAAATTCAGTTTTTCTCTGCCTCAGGTGTGTGTGTGTGTGTGTGTGTGTGTGTGTGTGTGTGTGTGTGTGTGTGTGTGTGTGTGTGTGTGTGTGTGTGTGTGTGTGTGTGTGTGTGTGTGTGTGTGTGTGTGTGTGTGTGTGTGTGTGTGTGTGTGTGTGTGTGTGTGTGTGTGTAGGGCTACTTTTCAAAGAGGTCTTTGCTGACCATGTGTTTGGATGTTATCACATATTATCACATGCAGTAGTTCACAATATCATTTCTAAATATACTTTATTTATTTATTTGTTAACTTTTACTCATTTAACACATTTCCACAAAATAATGGACTTAAGATTGTTCTTTGTAACTAAAGAGAAGGATTCGTCTGTTAGGCAAATCCCATCTGACAGCAGGGACAGTGAGTAGGAGTGGACTGGAGAAAAAGGCTTGAGCAGAAGTGAAAAAATAACTTCAGAAGTTTTTTCAGTAGCTCTGGTTGTCATTCAAATGATAGGTTTATATCAATATACAAAATAGGGGTCAAATATCAAGCTGTAGTTATTCTTGTATTTTCGTTGGCATTGGAAACTTACTGGTATCTAGGTATCTGTCAATAAAAAGGGAGAAGAAAGATGAAGACACATATGAAGATGACTCCCATCCCTAACTCCAAGAACTGTGGATTTGATAACAAATGCGTTTGGATTCTGCTTATCAGTTCCTAACTTTCTGCATATTTCAGTGTTGCGCCCGACTGAAGTGAAGTGAGCATTTTATTGTTTAAAAAAGAGTCACTTATCTGCCAGGACCTGCTAAGCGGACCTAATGTCACGTCATTTGTTACACATTACGTCAACAAAGTAACGTCTCACATTCACCTTTAATACTGAAGGAAAAAACGAATGATGTCTACAGATGATTCATATATATATATATATATATATATATATATATATATATATATATATATATATATATATATATATATATATATATATATATATATATATATATATATATATATATATATATATATATATATATATATATATATATATATATATATATATATATATATATATATATATATACACACACACACACACACACATATATTAGTTCTTAGAGACGAGTCCCCAGAGACTCCTTTCACTTTAGCCATGAAGAGGAAGATGAGCATGGAGGAAGTGGATTCCTGCTGGGCCTCTGCTCCCAAAAATTTTGGGGCAGAGCTGTGCAAGAATTGCATGATTTACAAATTGCGGAGACGACACTGTACAGTTAGACATGCGCAATAAACCTTGCAATGTGTAGCGAGCTTTCCAAACTTCCAGTCTTGCCTCATCTCCTACCAGTAACGCCATGTAGTTACAATATGGTGAATAGATCAACATTTTTTTCAGTCAGTGAACAATAAAAAAAAACAAAAAAACAAATAGCACGGCAAGAATACACAAAATTGATGACCAGTTGCTAAAACTCTAAGCGATGGTCAAAATAACACTTCACCTTTATAATCTCTATGTGGCATCGGCCTTAAGTTTACGTCATAACGTTAGCTTGCTTAGCTCAGTTTTAACAAGACCACAGTAGCAAGAAAACAGCACATCAAAATCATATACTGACGCCATTTGTAATGGTTTTTCGGAACGGTTTGTGTTAATATTAGTGGCAAAATTTGAATTTCCCTCCTTGCTGATCGAAAACACTAGGTATTTTGCCGACTGTGACCATGTGCCCTAATGGCAAGAGGCGCAGGCACACTGGTAGTCCAGCTAGCGGTGCACCAAATTTTCTTTTTCTCTGAATCTCACTGCATGGAACTGATTTGGATAATTTTTCTTTGTCGAAGGTAACCTGAGATTATAACTACATATTATAACTATAAATGGAATTTACATGTTACCATTTCTGTAGTGACATGAAGTTACTGTGATAAATGAACAGAAAACAATGAAGATCCTGTTTTAAGATAGCAGTTTAAGTGACTAAATAATTACTGCTGGCAAAAATAAGGCTGAGTAAAGATCCATGTCCATGAGATCCACAACTGCCTCCTTGTTTTTCAAAGGCCTTCCCTTTTAAACAGCAGGTATGTGTGCAGTCTGAAGCCTGATTACACACCCTAGATCTACAAGTTACCTCAAGTACTTGTTGCTCAACCATCACCAGGCTAAGTAATGTTAAGTAATAATTAATTATGAACATTAAACTGGCCAGTTTACACAGATCCCTTCCTATATTGGAGAGGGTCACATTCATGGGACGAATTGGACACACACTGTCAAGTTCCATGACAAATTGACAAATTAAAACTTCTCTCCCTTCTTTTCATAACTCCCTTAGGACCATCCATTCCTTCATGTTATCATTCAGTATCCTCACTATTTAACAAACAAAATAATTCATCTTTTAATCTGTTGAGCATTGTTAATACTTAAACTATTCATGCAAATTAAAATGAACTCTCCTGTTTCAGTTTTCTGACGTTCCATTTCACAGAGAGTGAATGAATCGTGTCTCTCGAGATACATTGGGTTTAATGGAATGGATTCTCCAGGACAGATTCACTGTCAGATAAACCTGAACCAAATCTGAGAAATGTTGTTGGCCCTGGCAGTACAGTTTTGTCACGCCACAGTCTTGTCACCTGTTTCATCAAATTAGATTTGACTATGACTGTGGGGGCTCGATGAACTTCCCGTCTACTCTAAAAGAATCACATGCATATATCTGCCCCACACGCTGATTAAAGCATGTCTTCGCCGCATCCCCCGGTGCAGCGTACACCCAACGCTATGAAAATGGCAACTAATGTAGACATTTAGATGTGTGGCACTGTGGGAAATGATTCATCATGTGATGATGTCACATTTCATGGCTACAATTTTTGGGCCCCAGGTCTACGTGAGTGATGGGGTGTATGAATTGTTTTATTCAGTTTTCTTCTTTTTGCTGTGTAGTGCTAAGTTACCATATTACACACTGTAGCATGTATATTTTTGTACTTTTTAAAAGCAAAATGGCATTTATAGGAAAAATTTTGTAGATTTTATTTGGCATATTTGGGGCAAATATCATGTAATTCCACATGGTCTGTGTATATTGTAGTGAATTTATGTAATTTTTTTTCCTGCTGGACCATTTTAAAAGAACCTTTCTTTATTCTACCAGTACATCAAAGAATTCTACAATGAGACCATGATAGAAAGTTATGACTGGACTCCGGAGGAGGAGCTCCTCACCGTCTTGTACTCCCTCACCGTGTCGATCTTTGCTATTGGTGGGATGGTCGGGGCCCTGCTGGTGGGCAAACTCGTCACCAAATATGGAAGGTAAGTGTGCGGGTGTGGATGATTTTTGAATATATAACACATGCTCATCAAAATGTTAATGTGAAATGCCATCAGCCTGTGTCTCCGACCGTCAAAATATCTTATTCTGTGAGAAAGTTGAGTGAAAAGTGATCACTATGTGTCCAAACAGGAAAGGGACGCTGGTGAGAGCCACTGTGCTGGTGTTTATAGGAGGAGGTCTTATGGGCTTCAGCAGATGGTGGAGGATGCCTGAGATGGTCATTATTGGACGCTTCATCACAGGAATACACTCAGGTAGGCCTGACAATGCATCACATAGCATCCTAACCAGACACTATGAGCATTTTTAATGCAAAAAGTGAGATTTATCTGAAAATGAATAGATTCAAAGCTACAAAAGCACATTACAGAGATAATTAATTAGCAGATCTGTTTCACGTGCTTATGTTTCACTGGAATTAGTCATGCTTTATTTTGAAAGGGCTTCTGGTGTCTTTTTTGCTTTTCTTCATTAAGCCTTTTTGAAATCAATTCCCCCATTTTCTTCAGAATTTCATTTACTGTTTAACAACTGAATAGTAAGTTGTGCATATTAAGAAACTACAGTATAAACAAATGCCTGTGGAAATATAAGTTTAAAGAAAAACATTTGCGTTGGTTTTTGGTTTCATTAGGTTGGTTCAAGACATTTTCAATTATTTATGAGATAGTATGATAAAGTCTTTCACAGTCCACCAACCTCTATCAAGTTGGAGACATTAAGAAATATTACTTAATTGGAACAAAAAAGTGGAACGTTGAATCACATTTTTTCTAGAAGAAGCAGACAAGCTGAACAAAAACTCTTTGACACCCAAAAAAGAAATCACGGCTTGTAAACATTCATTCAAGACAGATTTTCATTTCAATTTTGTTGTGCTGATTGGTGCCTGGTTCACTCTGTTTTTTCCTTGTAGGTATCTCTCTCAGTGTGGTGCCGATGTACCTTGGTGAGATCGCCCCCAAGAACCTGCGAGGCTTCCTGGGCCTCGTTCCCAGCATTCACATTTGTCTTGGAGTCTTCATCGCTCAGGTCCTGGGACTCCATGAACTGCTGGGAAAGGTACTAACATCATGGCGTTCAAACGCTACACAGGTCTACTCTGTCTTGTGGGTGGATGGATTGGTAACACAAACTTTGTTTCCTTTATAAGACTGATGCTGTACGTGTGAACAGATTCATCCTAAATCTATTGAGTAATGGTTGACGTAGTTCTGATTTATGGCATGATATGAATTACATTCTGAATCTGAGGCATAGATGTTAGCGTAAGCAGCTAGTCCTCTATCCTCTATCTAGTCTTGCGTTAGAAATACACATCAGATGCTAGTTTCTTCTCAGACCGGAGTGTGAAACTATTTTAAGCACACCAGTATATTTTTCTAAACTAAAGCACATTCACATAACACTTAAAAGCATGAATAAGTAGCATGATACAGTATGTGAACACACTGTAGTGCTATAATTAGATAACAGTTATTTATACAACATGACCAGCTGTCCCTGTAGCTTTCCTCCTCCTACCCTTCATGTTTTTTTTCCCTGTTTCTAGTAGAACTGGATGAGGTGATGCTCTCTCCATCTGTCCGGTATAGTAGAGGGGGGATTGTAGCTTTATGGAACAGCTGCATAGGAAAACAATGCTAAAAAAAGACAATGACTTACATCTTTAATAGGGATAAAAGTAGGGCTGATATTGAGATATGAGTCACGATTTTAGTGGGAGTGATAGTTTTTTCATTTAATTTTCACTGGAAAAACAAATAAAAATACTGATGATGGGATTTTTTATCTGTACCAAACAAGCATGTTACCTATATCTGTAGCACCACAATGTTTCATTTATAATGGCATGTTGTGAAACATGTATCTTTTTATCAAAACATTGCAGCAAATCCTGAGATTTAGATATTGCACTTGGCCAGTATTTTTGATGATGGGTTGATCAGTAGGCTTTCAATTGTTATGTTGCAAGGTTTTAGTAAGGAGTCATGTTTGTATTTTCCACACAGGAGGAGCACTGGCCTCTGCTCCTGTCCCTGGTGGTGTTTCCCACAATGCTCCAGCTTATGCTGTTGCCATGGTTTCCAGAGAGTCCACGGTACCTGTTAATAGAGAAGGGAAATGTTCATGCCACCATCGCAGGTTAGAAAGTGGACTATCATTTCATTTTCTCCTAAATGTGTTATTTATGTTTCATTGCATGGACTAAAGACTGGACTAATTTCTCTTAACAACCTGTAGTTCTTGGTTCTTGTTCAATGATTGAATTCAGTGTGCGGGAGGGATCTGCATGTTGTGGTGATAAACAGATTGTCAGCTGGTTGTCACAGCATACCGCTGAATGTACTGGGATGACTGGACCTGTTGATCTCACTCTTTTTCTAAATATTGATGTTGGGTCTTCTGTTTCCTCTTGAAATTTAAACTGATGCAGGGACTGGTGTTTCTGCAGGCTGGTAAACACTTTTCTTTCTGTTCTTTAGCCCTCAAATGGTACCGTACTAAGGGAAACATTCAGGCAGAGGTGGAAGAGATGCAGGAGGAACAGCGCTCTCTTTCCTCCATCCAGACCATCTCTGTTCGCGGCCTACTCATGGACCGCTGTGTTCGCTGGCAGGTCATCACCATTGCGGTTGTCAACGTTGGCATGCAGCTGTCTGGCATTGATGCGGTAAGTCTGAAAAGTGTTGTCCTCTATCTTTGTGCCTGTGTGTGTGCACACATTTTGGACTGTGCAGTTATTATATGAGAGTGAGAACTAATATTGCTACAGTTCCCAGCTGTGCTCCACCCGTCTGCACCTCCTCCTGTCCATACATCACATTCCCACATGCAGCCACTGAGTGACTAAGCAGGGGGCAACAGGACCACGCCTCATTATCTCCTGGTCCCCTCTGTTAGTGTTACCCCACATAAGAGGGTCCAGTCATCCACACACAAAGTCGAATCCATCTTTGTACTCATTCCTCCATGTGGATGGAAGCTCTGTGCATGCTGAGGCACATGCTAGTACCATTTCCCAGCAGGGGGACACCCCACTGAGTCCCACTGTCCCAGCTGTTTCAGACGGGAACACTTTAAGGCTTCAAACATCCAGACGAATCCATACGTCTAAACTGTGTGCAATGAATCTGTGGCACAGAATGCTAAATCACACATTTCAAGAGATTTTCAAGTGAAAACATGCTTGTTGTTCTTAAAGATCTTGGCCATTTATAATTTTATTTATACCAACCTCAGTCATTGCAAAATGATGACGGCAAGAAAAAAAGATCGGATTCTTTCACCGTATGTGTAGCGCTGTTGTGGCGTTATTATAGGTATCAGCACATCTGGAACCACTTCACCAAAGATCTTGAAAGAACTACTCCTACAACGTGAACAGAATCATTCTCCTAGCAAAGAAAGAACAGAGGGCTATCATATCACATTGCCATTTCAGGCAGTGACAAGCCAAACAATAGGGACTTCATTTCCATGAGTACTTTTTGTTTGTTGGAGATCTAGCTATTGAAATGAGAAGGAGCCAACCAAACAATGTTAAAAAGAGAGGCTAGAATGCTTTTAACTTCAGAAATAAATGATAAGTACATGCTGAAAAAGAATGCCGTATGGGCCTGTTAAGAAAGGTCGAGATGTAGAGCAGTCATTGAAAAGTGAAGCAGTTTTTACCTCTTTTTGTTACTGGTATCCGGAGAAAGAGGTACTGTGAAAGTGTAGGGTGCTGAGACAGATGCTGCAGGCCTTTTGATGAAAATGAAAGGTTTCTTGTGCTCTCTGCATGAAGTGAAGCTCATTGCACTTAGTCCCCTTTCTTATTTTCAAGAATGGTTCATCAAGGCATCTGTCAAATTTAGTGGCATTAGAGTGGTATCTCTGCACTTTTGCAGATGATGTTGTCCTTTTGTCATTTAATGGACTGTAATACAAACCAGGGAAATCTGTGGTGGAATCCAACCACCTATTTAGCCTCTGCAGGGTCATTATCAAGGTGATGGATACCGCTTGGTTCGTTAGTGTTCATGGCTCAGTGCTTGCAGTGGGCCGGAATGCACCGGTACGCGGCACCTGGACATTTTACTTTGGCATACCGGGACATTTTCTTGCGTACCGGGACTTCTCCCAAGCTGCCGGTACTCTCCTCTGCCCTCTCCATATCAGGTTCTCTGGGCGCTACATGACGCTCACCTGTTTCCGTTCTCGTCTGCCTGCTAAACTCTGTCGGCGGAGAGAGACGAGGTAGAAGAGAAGCTCGGGTGCGTTTCCAGCAGCCGTGTGCTGAATGTAGCGCGTCCATGTCACTTGTCGTGAACCGATCAATCACAGCCTGGATGAGACGGGACATTTAAAAGTATCGACAGATAGGTGTCATTTACACTGGGGACGCTGGGGACAGGTCAGGATCAGACTGTCTCCATCACTTTTTGAAAGCTTTTGTTAAAAATGTTCTGAAAAACAGCAACAAGAAATGTTGAATAACAAATGAAACAATGGACAATAGGAAAACATGCAACGCAACTGAAATAAAGAAGAAACAAATGTGCATTGTCCAAAAGCTGATTACTAAATTACATTCCTTTATATTTTGAATCACCTGTCACCTTGGGGGTTGGGGGGTACTGGCACTTCCACTTCAAGCACTGTCCTGGCTGTTGTTGCGACAACCATAACCGTGACTCCAATGACCAACCACAGCTGGTCATTGGAGTCACGTGAGGCCAAGTCTGAACACCTCACGTCATTGGCATAGTCGCATGAGGCCAAATGTGAGTGTTTGTTCAATCTCCTGGGAAGGGATGAAAGGACAGCATTGTAGGTGGGGGATAAGTGTGGTGGTGACGTGATGCAAGATAGTGCCATCAAGGTCATGGTCCTCTCCCCAGCTTAAGGAGTTCAAGTACCACACGTAATGGCAAAAAAGATTGTGACACCAACTCCCAGGTAGTTTCAGGTAGACTCTCCAATAGCAAGTGGAACAGGAAAGCAAGACTCTTGATTTATGGGCCGGTCTTCATTCTGACCATCTCTTAGGTAGTGACCTAAAGAACTGATTTCAGCACAGCTCACTCTCAAACAGCAGAAGGAGCTAAGTGATCCACGAAGACCTTGGAGTTTAGAGGATTCAGATTAGTCAGTTCAGACATGTGCAGAGGGCCCTTAAGGTGGCTCCCTCTGGCTGTGTAATTGGGAGAAGACCTTGGTGTACACTCAGATGCACACAAGAGACTACATCAGTCAGCTGGTCCAGGAACAGCATGGGTTTGGCCTGGAAGAGCTGAAGGAAGTCTCAAAGGGAAATATGCTAGAGCTGCTCTGCTTACCCAGCTTATCTAGAATATGACTCTGGATGGATGAGGGGAAAAAAAGCAACAAAATAATTATTCCTAATATATATGAGTGTAAATAGTCAAACAGCAATCCTTTAAGTCTTTGAGTCACCAGAGTTTTATTGGTTGAGCAGCATCTAGCAGTTTTGTTAAAGTTATGCATATAAAAGAAAAATGTCCAATATGATAGAAATAACACACGATTTCTGTTTTTAAGGAGTTCAGTTTAGTGAGTGAGAATTTTAGCTCATTAATATATGATTTGTCATGACAATTCATGTATTCAGAACAGTATAACTGGTTCAAATGTTTCAGCTTTTTCAAACTGTTTGTGATTCTGTATTTTTTCTGCTTTGATAGTTGGGTGTATACATACTTCAGTGCTGCAATGGTGATGAAATAGTATATGTATGGATATTAAATCAACAAGACAGCATTGAACCGCACCAATCACGATCTTTTCCACACCTCATCAATGATGGATGTTGCATCAGCAAAGTGTGATTAATGAGAATACACAAATTAATTTCAAGGGGAGCACTTGTCAGAAGTCCATACTGATGAAACGCTGCATCTCAAATGCATGAGTGATGGTTGGTGTGATGATAATGATCACTATGATGAATCGCATGGAAACACCAAATAAGCAGAACTGGAAAAAAAGACAAACTTTGAGTTTCAAAGCACCCGTCTGTGTGTGGGTATGTTTCTGTGGTCCGACGTATTATAAACTTCATGTCACTGTCAATTTCAGATCTGGTTCTACACAAATGACATATTTGAGGACGCAGGAATCCCAGAACCTCATATTCAGTACACAACAGTGGGAACTGGTGCCATTGAGGTCATTGCTGGGTTGCTGGGGGTGAGTTGACATTATCACACAGATGACATCATTATCACTATTATATAACACTATTTTATATATGGTGCTTAAACAGCCACTTCATTAGTCCATCCAAGGTGGGGATTTGATGCTCGTTTCCATTGATAATATTACATAAATTTGGATTTGGTGTGTTGTTTAGAGGGCGGCATGGTGGTGCAGTGGTTAGCACTGCCTCACAGCAAGAAGGTCGCGGATTCAAACCCCGGTTGCCCCGGCTTTTCTGTGTGGAGTTTGCATGTTCTCCCCATGTCTGCGTGGTTCTCTCTGGGTTTCCTCCCACTGTCCAAAGACATGCAGACTAGGTTAATTGGTGACCCTAAATTGTCCGTGGGCGTGAGAGGTTGTTTGTCTATGTGTTGCCCTGAGATGGTGTCGTTTAGACAAAACAAGTAATTTGACAAGGTCACCTTTGGCGATGTGAGACTTGACAATTAATTATAAATGAACAATTAAATTGACGGTTTTGATAATCGACCGATCACATTAGTCATTAAAAAGATGAAATACAAAACATTACATTATGTGAGAATGAGTTGCTCTCTGTTTCTATGTAAAATTAATATCTTTTGATAGACTTTTTGACTGTTGGTGACACAAAATAAAAAAAAAAAATTTACTCTGGTACCTTGTGGTTGAAAAGTGGCATTTTTACATTTTATAGAATAGTTAATAGTAAAAGTACTTTGCAGATTAATCAATGATGAAATAATTTCCAGCTCTAATAATATGCTGTGTAAGAGTCATTTTATGTTTTAAGTAAAAGCAACTTTAGTTCTTACAAATTTACATCTTTTATCTCAGTCCTCCTTTGGACTGATGTCTCTCACTGTTCGGGGGATCACTGTGTTGAACTCTTTATCTATTGATACTGTACTATGTGGCACTGGTCCATGCTGTATACCTGTCCCTATAAAACCACAAATTAGATAAACAGAATTAGTGACACAGCACATATATTTGACTTCTTTTTTAGATTTTCATTACTTTACTTTTACTCATGTGTTTATTTATTTAAAAATTATTAACATCAGTGTGATGTAAATGTGCCAGATTTAGCCAACTGCCTAATTATTGTTGCCCTTTGTGTTGCATGAAAAACATGAAATACTCCATGTATTGTTTGTGGGCCCCCAGAAAATATGAAATGGGCTGAAATGAATGATCAGAGGACAAAAAGTCAACTGTTTCTTGCTTCTTGATGAAATCTCCTGTTACGAGCCAATCACAGCAGGGTTTGCCTCTTTGTCTGTTTTGCAGTGCTTTACTATTGAGCGTCTGGGCAGAAGACCTCTGATGATTGGTGGATTCCTGTTCATGGGACTCTGCTGTGCTGGGATCACAGTGTCTGTCTTCTTCCAGGTACAGGATCAACTGATGCACTGCTCGTCTAGGAATATAATACAATGACTTGCAGATTGTGGAGTAGGACATTGTTTTCAGTAAGGTTTAAAGACATTACCACTTTTAAATAAACATTAACTAAAATCTGTGTCTAGTTTATGGTTGAACATTGAAACAGGCTTTGCTTGCTGTAATCATGTGTCCTGTTCATACCAATGTATATGATTGTGGACAAAATCCACCATCCTCATTCTGTGCAAAAATGTATTCAAAAGTGAATTTTGTACTGAAAGGGCTTGTAACATTGGAAGATATCCACAGGATGTGTCTAACAAATGAAGCCTCGATCCATTTCTGCTAGGAAGGACGACTGTGGATTTTGTCCCCCATCACTTACATTGAAATCACATTAGGGATGGAATGATTACAGCAAGCAAAACCCGTTTCAGTGTTCATACTATTGTTTTAACTTGAAAAATTGTGAACCTATTCTTTAAGAGTAAAATGATAAACATTTTAAATATTATTATTATTATTATTATTATTATTAAAAAAAGTTCCCTTCATTAAATAATGGTGAACTGAGTTTACTGATAAATGACTAATTAAGTATCAAGTAAATGTCAGGACAGGAACTATTCATCGTACAAATCATGTTACTAATTATTTTTATATATAATGTATTAAATGTAGTCAAATGGGGGATCACCTGGTGGATTCCCCTCATTTCCTGTCTCTCTCTTCAGCTGTTTATTTATATATCAAAATATATAAAATAGACAAATGAGTAATTATGAGAAACTGTACGAATTGTTTACTGTTTAAAACTTCAGACTCATGACTTGTGCTTGACCAATCACAGGCGCAGCTGTCCTTCATGCGCTACATCAGTGTGGGCTGCGTTGTTGGGATTATTGCTGGCTTCTGCATCGGCCCAGGTAAACACTTGAGTAAATCTACCCTCTCTGCATCTCACTTGAAACCTCTTTTTAAAAACTTAAAATGAACATTTCCAGTCCACACATACTGCTCTAGAGTCAGGCCTCACAGTGTGTAAGATAACACTGCTCCCTGCTGGAAGCTTGCACAACAGCAGGCACCAAATCTAACAACCAGCAACTCTCCCTCCCTACTCCTCCTCCGACTGTGAAGAGATATTGTATTTCATTAGTCTTGTAAATTAGGAAATCATAACTGCCACACAACATCCATTCCCACAGCCATTTGTACACTGGATGAGTTGAGTGAAGTGAATTAAGAGGCAATAGTTTACAACTTTAGGAGGGAGGCACGTTGAGTGGACCTGCGAGGATGATGAATTAGAACGAATCTGGTTTACATAGCTTCATTCGTCAAGCCAGCAAAATCTATACCTCGGCACACAGACGAGGATTTCTGTTGCTGCAATTAGACTTTTAATGGCTCATTGTTCATAAGCTAGCCGTGATGAATACGGTTTCCTTCAGACGAAACCTTGCATGCACGGTGATGCCCCCCATGCATACCACAGATGTTGACAAATTATGGCCGAGTTATTGGTTTGACGATATTAAACCTTCCTCTATGCAATTATGATGCACAGATAATGAGGACGTCATTTGCAAAGCTCATCATTAGAGCTTTTACTAATGCACATTTCTCCTTCATAGTCTTCACTTCTAACAATGAAGAATTGTGTGTTTAAAGCCAAGAAACCATCTCATAGATCCTGCATATCAAACTAATGAATTGCACTAGTCCTAGCTAAGCTATTCTGTTTCTTGTGGTTTGGAGTTGGACTTTTGCCAAGTTGACAAACATCCTCCTCTTTTGTCAATCTTTGACCACTGAGTAATAATGAACACATAATGAAGTACATGCTGAAAAAACAAGTGTAATATAATAGCACTGGGGCTTGAGGAATGTTTATCATTTGTTATATCATGTTCTGTTTATTTTGAATGACTGCCAATGAATAGTCATGAGTGGGAATATTGATAAACTAATTGACGAATGAAGACGCTGATGTTAATTTCACTACACCCAATAGATTCATACAGCTGTACTGTGGTTAAATGTGATTTGTATTATGAAACCTGACAGGATGCCTAGTTGGATCAGACCGATGATGAATTGCATGTGAAGTGAACCATGGCTGATTGCTGTTGTCAAAATGTGTCCTTTAAAATAATACACTTTTTTTGTCTCTTCTGTGCAGCTGGTGTGCCTTTCCTGATCACTGCAGAGCTGTTTAAGCAGTCACACCGACCGGCTGCCTACACTGTGGCCGGCTGCCTCAACTGGTTGTCCAACTTCACCATCGGCTTTGTCTTTCCCTTCCTAGAGGTGAGAGCAAATTCTCCTTTCAGTTCTGGTCATACAGTATTGTACTGTACTGTATTTGATTTTGAAATGTTCATCTTGAAGTGACCAAATTGTGTGTGACGTGTAGCAGATCTCATGGGGGGATTCTGTATGTAGAATGTAAAATAATCTTATGTGCACAGGTTATGTTTATTCTTAATTTTTAGTCTAGTTTGCAGTGAGAACCTCAAGTTCATCTTGACATTGCTTCCACGATCTGTTGTGGCTTGTCAGGCATTGTCAGGCACATGTCAATTATGATATGAGCTGTCTAGTTTTGTTTGAACAGAGGCGACTCCCCAATTGCCATTAAAACGACCAATTAAAATTGCGACCTTGCTGTCTCTCATTGTCCTCCAGTGTTGTTCTAGTCGAAGAGACACAAAGTAAAGAGGACAATGATCTGTCCCTTCTGCTACTGTTAAAACACCTGGGATGTGTGACATCATGTGGTCCTTCATCTTTTCTGTTTTAATTTGTATTTGTATTCTGTTTTAAACTGTAACTTCACTTGAAACTCTGCCCCTGCCTCCAGTCTTTGTGCTAAGCTAGGCTAAACATTCTTTTTTGGACAATCTTTGTACTGGACTCACACTGAAAGAAATCTTTCACCGCATCTGACTGTGGCTTTGATAGCAAAAACAGAATATTAAAACAAAAAAAGAGAGTAAACAAAGTCATAGACATTTTCTCATTTTATGTTATATTTTGTATGCCAAACGTCCTTTTTATAAAAGTTCCCTCCGGTGTTTCTTTCTTCTTTACTGCTGCACTAACATTTTCATATTCGATGACTGAAATACCTACCTGGAGCTTCATCGCTATGACCTTTACCTATTCATACAAGTATGGCCTAACTCTGCAGTTCGCTTCAGCTCTATGGAGATTTTTAGCATCATCCAGCAAATCGTTTTGCTTTTACTGCCCACAACTTTACTGTTTTGTGGCTAAAGAGCCTGGGAATTTCCTTAAGAAGTTGTTGGAGACCTAAACAGAGCTAAAAGGAGAATAAATACTGGACTCAGGAGCCAGACACAGTACTCCAAATGAATGCTAATGTTGCTGCGTATCTGCTAGATGTGTAAATAAGCAACTGTCTGCAAATACACGAAGGAGATATGCCAGTGTTTACAGCTTGTTTCTGCTGTAACAATTCCTAGTGTCTCTTTTTCAAGCGAACTAATCTATTAATATAATCTAAAGTAGTTTGTATAAAACCTACAGTATAGCCTATTTTTGGTGTTCTCTGGTCCTGTTTTGGAGCATAATCATTTTAACCTGCTTTTGTTAGCTTCGCTGTGGCCTGTCTCGGTCTAAAGATCATATTTCTCACCAAATTTCATGTTTTCTTGCAGTACATAGCAACTGTTTTAAGGTAGAAACTGCTATGACAGTATGGCTCCAAATGTGTCTCCTTTTGCTGTCCTTGAAAAATTTCAACATTGTAAAGAAAGCCCAAACAGTATATATTTATTTTTGATCATGCATGAGTTTTATTCAAAGTTACAATGTGTGTCCTCCCCCCGCAGACAGCTACAGGTCCTTACTGTTACCTGATCTTCTGTGCGATCTGCTTGGGAGTGGCCTTGTACACCATCTTCATTATTCCTGAGACCAAGAATAAAACCTTTATGGAGATCAGCCAGATGTTCGCTGCCAAGAACAACATCCTCAAAGACGAGCTGACTCCCAATGGACATCTCAAAATGGCTGTGATGAACGGCTACGGAACCCTTGGCCAACACGACGAAAAATAAGGAGTGAAGAGGTGGACCTACATGTAAATGATGGTTTTCTTCTCTCAGTGGGCCTTCTTTGTTTTTAATGACTGAAGAAGCTGTAGCAGAGATAAAAGGTGGAATTTCTGTGGCCACGAGGAGATCTGCTGCTTCATGTGGAAACTACAAAGACCAATGCGTACGCATACACACACAATCGTTTCTGTTAATCCCCAGTCAAAGTACATCACGTGAGACAGAGGTCATGTGGTCAAGCATTTCAAATGAACCATCAGTGACATTTTAATCCATTTCTCTGCATCTTAAAGCATTTTTACAGGAGCTGAATTGGTTTCTCACAGTGCCCTCAGATCTTTTAATATCCGGATTAGCTTTACTTTGTTTGAAAACGCCCCATGATCACTTCATTAGCACCGCCTTACACTAGCATGTAAGGCGGTGCTTCCATCAGTGTACTGAAGAAAGGTATAAAAGCAACCTTTTACAATGTTGAAAGTATTCAGCTCAAGGTGAACATCTTGATGAAGAACTTCAGTTGTCTTTCTTTCCATCTTCGTCCAGTTTGTGATTTTGTCTCTTTGTACGTATGAGAGCTGGATACTGTGGCTACTGCAGTAGTTATTTCCTATGACTGTCCATATTTGCTCAAATAGATGCACATGTATGTAAAGCTTCTTAGTATCACATCACGGTAGCTTTACAAGTTTGTTGGATGTTTTACCTCTTTGTAAATTTTATGGTGGAGTCGGTAGCACTGAGAGACAACACAATATAGAGATGTTTGAACATGAAAATCTTTCTCTTTCTTCTTTGTTATTCTGCATTATTGAGCTGTAAATTACTTTGTTGAGTGAGCCTCGTAATCACAAGCAAACATACAAAAATAAGCATCTTCATACAGTAAGCTATTTTCCAAGTTTACCCCAATGTACCATCAAATATGGAGCTGCTTTTCTGTGCTACCACAATACTTGATTTTCTTTTGGGGCCACTTGTTTTTAGCATTTAGCTGTGGTGGCGCCAATAACTTGGAGTTACCTTAATACAGGCTAAGAGAAAAATCATTATCTGGCATTACTGCCTCTCATCAAACTATAAACAAAACTACAGACCTCAGTTACAGCACAAATGCACATGCATCATGAAACAAATAACCCTGACATAGAAGAAGCGTTTTAAGCCAAAGAGCAAGATTGGAACTAAAACTGTAGACTGAAAGACTAATAAGCACCCTTAACTGTATAACAGATTTATAGGTTGTAACTAATGGCTTCATTAATGGTTAATAAATGGTTTAAAAGTGAGGTTCAAAGTTCATTCATGACCTTGGAAACAGCAGTTGAGAAAAGAAAATCTCTCCCCAAGGTCCATGTAGTAGCTCATCTGGAGCTTTCAATCCTGTCACCAGAAGGAGTTTGCCCATTTGTCATGGAATTGTATTTTTCCCAACGTGAACAATATCTATGAATGGGTAAACTACAGCTGTTGATGAAGATAATTTATAAGCAAATGCTCCAGGACAGCTACCAAAAGGGCCTTGTGGTGGAATTGTTTTCTCTAAATTTACAACTAATGTATAGATGAGTTGTATGCCTTTTAATAAGAACGACGAGTTGTGAAAAATCCATTAGGCTAATGTTCATCCATTATTTTTGTTATTAATCCAATAATTATGAGTGCAAATGAATGAAATCCAATTTACTATTTACAGGTTTCTTACTTTGTTATAAGCCACACAGTATGGACCTACAGAGAATTATCACCTGAATCACCTGAACGGCTGACAGACACAGTTAGCAGCCAGCTGGTGAACATTGCGGAGCGTTTTGCAGCTAAAGAGCCAGATATTTCCCACAGGAGTTGGTGGACTAAATGAGAGTGAATATTGGATGATTGCAAGTAAATGCTAATGTTGCTCTGTAACTGCAGGATGTGAAAATAAATAAAAACGGTTCATCATGACAACTTCAATGTTGGAGGGCTCTTCCTGATGAACTCAAGAGCTAAAAAGACAAAACAAGTGTCAAGCTGGAGGATTATAAATCCAGTATTTATAATCCTCCAGCATGACACTTGTTTTGTCTTGCCAGAGGGATTTTTCATAACCTGGCAACCCAAAAGTTACTAAGCGCTTATAGTGATTTATAAAGCATTAGTAAATTATTTATTAACCATTAATAAAGCCATTATAGTTGCATCTGAAAAACTCTTCATAAAGGGTGACTTAGACGGTGGTAAACATAAGAAGTAATTTTTTCATTCTTAGAAGGACTGACCTGAGGCTGATAACTCAACGAACAGCCAACGTGATGTTTTGACAGCCTCAAGGAGCGACAACCAACCATCACGCTTACACCTCCTCAGTATAGATCAGTGGTAGCCTACTGTGTGTCTCTGGTTCCCACAACGAATAGGACTACAAGCTCAGTTACTGAATAGCTGCAATTCCGTGCACAACATGTAAATGAGACAGTTAAGAGTCTTACTCTGGGAGGTTATGACCATCTTCTGATATCTTTGTCAATCTGTGTAGTGTGATCATAGTGCAAAACACAGAAATAGCAGCATTCTCTCAGTATGTAAAACTCCCATCATCTTCAAAGCAGTGTTCTGCCAGCCAGGGTTGCAAATTTGCCATACCATGTGACACTGTATGCCAAATCTGGGAGTCATACAGTATCTTGAAGGATGGGGAGTGGCATCCTCTCTCTCATCTCTTCCCACTTGCCTTTAGGCTGGCTGATCCATCTGTCAGCCCCTGCATGAGGGCCCTGAAAACCCCCAACTGAGGCAGAATGGATAAATGTTGTCACATCCCTGCTTGTCCTGATATCACAGAGAAGAGACACAGAGAGAAGAGGGTCGACCAGGCCAGTGTTAAAAACATCAGCATCACATCACAACTGGATTGTTTGGGGTTTTGTTAGAGTAGATCTGAGTGTCCCAGCACTTTCAGACACGGCTTCCCGTCACAGGAAGGAGGGGGGAAAGGTGAGGCAAGCTGATTGAGAGTCAACCTTTGGAGTTGTTGATTTGCTGCTGAAAGACAAATGGACAGCAGAGTTTCAGTCCTGAGAGAGGACAAACAGGGGCCGTGTGGCTGTTCATATGTAATGTCACTCCCAAACAAAGGGCTCCTTGTCACTGAAACTACAGTATATTTCTGTGGATAATGCCACAGCATTGCGCACGTGTGAAAACACGTTCACACGCGCAGGCTCGCTCAGCCTCCGGCAGGCAGAAGCTATAAATCAAACAAATAGCATCACAGCCTGGCGAAGGAAGCATTCCAACAGATAAAATGCTCTCCCACACAACAAAGCCACACTCACTGCGTAATTAATTGCAACAAATTACCTCTTCCTCTCCCTGTCGGCCCCCACCTTGCCTCTTTTACGGCACTGACAAGCGCTCTACACGTTTCTGCGCGCGCGCGTTCGCGGATGTGTATGCGCACGCAGCGCACACGCCAGCGCGCATCGTGGCACCGGTGCGTACACACAGATACACACACACGTACTCGGCCTGCACCCTTCATAAGTGCTTTAATGTGGCTTATTGCTGTGTGCGGTCCCCTTAGCCGTGGAAATATTCGCTTGACGGATGTGCTTTGTCGCCGGCGCTCCCCGGCGGAGGGCGGCTGTCAGGGAGGAGATGATAACATTAACAGGGAGGCAAGGCGATGACAAATGCCTGTTATCAGCGAACGAGGCCGGTGACAAATCGAACGGCAGAGCCCAGGCAGCCCCGGCGCGGCGTAATAAAAAAGAAGATGGATGGCACACCCAGGCAGGGCCCGCGTTAATGCGATTTCCACTGCTCTCCCTGACTCCCAATTAAGGCTGGAGGAGGGGGAGGGAGGGAGGGGTGGCGGGGGAGGATGAGGGAGGGAGATGTGGAGGAGAGGGGAGAGTAGATAGAGATAGTGTAGATGAGAGTGTGGTGTGTGTGTGTGTGTGTGTGTGTGGGGGGGGGGGGGGGGGGGGGGGTGAGGTAGATGAAGTAGCACACCAAGAGGAAAGATGTCACTGAAGATGAGGCGAGTGACAGGAACAAAGTGGAAGAACCACAACAGAACACGCGGCTTTAATTGTCTGCAGAGCCCATCTGCTCCCTCCCCTCTTTTACTCACATCTCAATCAGGGCCCTGTCTCAGAGGTATAGGTTGTTACGTGTCTCTGAGGCCAGGTGGAACGCCATTAGAGCCTTTCAGACAGCCAGTAATGAAAAAAAGCTCACTCCTTAACTTTACATTAAAATGTCTGAGCAAATTCTGCTTTGCGACAAGTTGAAGCTCCTTGATTAGCAGATTCAGGTGTGTCAGCACTGGATCAAAATTTAAAAAACAAACAGAGGCCCTGCATACTCCTGTGGTTCTGTATTGGCTCAGGATTCAAGGGCTGCTCCCTAAATCAGCTCCTATAAAAACAGAGCTGACAGACAGCCTATGGCCTATAGGCAGACAGAGCTATAGAGATGAGCTACGACTCCGTCCAGGATGACTGTTCCTGTCCAAGGACCCAGATGTTATCTCTTTGCTAAAAGGATCAGCGCAGGATATTGAGAAATTACCTCGGGATGAGGGGGCATCTGTGCCCGAATACCCAAGGGCTGCTGTTTTGTCACTCTGACAGTGTTTTATAAAAGGCTGAGGAAACTCAGAAGGCTGCAGAAGCCGGGGCCATATATCTCCTGCTATTACATCCAGGCTAGGAAGAGAGGATTGAAATGACAATGAAATATAGCCTCAGCTCAGAGGGAGAAAAAGAACAGGGTCTAAAGAGGGACGGCTGAGTCTCCTCGGGAGCCTGCAGGGGCTGTGCTCCAAATCGGAGACAGATGCACAGCAGCCCCGGACACTAACCCTGCGTTATACTGCAAGCACACAGAGGTGAAGAGGAGAAGATATGTGGTTCAGAGAGGGAAGTCCTTAGAGAGAACGGCCTCTCCGTGCCTTTGCTGATATTAGTCTGAAAGAACAAGGCGAAATTAGAGCCCCGCGGGGGGGGGGGGGGGGGGGGTAAAAGTCCAAACTCGGCAAGGACCCCTGCATCATTAAGTTGTCAAGTGGACGGGAGGCCCCGAAATATGACTTGGAGTTATTGCCTGGGCCGGGGCTGATGATATAAGAATTACAGTACATGGATCATGGCCGGATCGATAGGTAGACAAAGTCATTATGGAGGGGCTAGAGTTCAATGCCTCCCTGGGGCTGCGAGCTGGGACAGAGGGCTTTTATTTATCACCCTGGCAATGTGTAACACACACAACACACAGGTGGGTAGCTGTAGTTATATTTTGCTTGTTGCTCTTATTTCCAAAGCTATCTGTTCCAGCCTGTATTGATTGTTTAAGTCATGTGCGGGTGCAGAAATGGATCACGTGTGTCTTGACGTGGCATTTATTTGTCGACAGGTTTGTGCTCTCATGAAGTACACATGTGTGTCTACAGGTAAACTAAATGTCCTGGTGCATGCACATCACTCAGTGGCGAACATTTGTCCTTCTATGCTCTCTGTCTTTGCGGCAGAGGGATGGGGAGCATGAGCGGGGCAGAATCGATCCTCTCTGTGCCGAGAGAAATTAGGCATGAAATTAAAGCTCCCATCAAAGGCCAGGGCCGGCGCTGTCACCTGATCCAGCACTATTTATACTCCCAGGAGATGATGATTCTGTCTCCATCACACTGATGATAACAGGACAGAGGGAAGTGAGAGAGACGGAGTTGTAGAAAGAGACTCTCTCTCCTCCATGCACGGTGCCACTGACCTGCCATCATTTATACTGCCAGGGC